TCTTGGCAGGCTGTCGTCTCTTTCTGCCAGGCATCCATATTGGCTTGCAACCTCTTCTCTCGCATGGCGGCCGTCCTTTCTTGGATGGCTCTTGTTTCTGCTCGGGTGGCTTCAGTTTCTGCGACAATCTTTTCTCGCCAGGCGGCCATCTCTTCCCGCCAGGCTTTTCTATCGGCCGACTCCTTTTCCTGGTCGGACCCTCAACGTCTCACAACCCTATGGGCCTTCATGGCCTGGTACAGGGATGGCTTTGTCTTAATACGAAATCTTCAAGTATAAACATATTCCCTTAACCAAACTGCAGAAATACAAGTTCTGTATGCTCCGTATGTGCATTGGACACCGTGCAACATGATACCCCGGAAATAAGGAAATTAATGATGAGTCCATTATTATTACATATAGAGGATTTGTAATTGCATATAATTTTTAATAATATGTAACTTACAGTGTTTTAGTGACGTTTGCTTACTTTAAGCAAGGTTTAATAGAAAAGAAAGATTATATTGGTGGAAACAAGAAGCCCAGGAGCATACTTTAACTAACATGCAGATGCTAGGAGCAGTCTCGTTCAAATATACATATGTATGACGTGATAATGAACATTTTTAGGCCAAAAGTGTAGCAAGAAAAATGACATAATATTGTGTATCATCTATAAGGATTGCTTCCTCTACCTTGACGGGCTTGGTTCTCTGGATTGTCTCTACTCAGAATGAATTCTGATGTTATGAATCTTGTAGAGAGTCTATAGGAATCTTTGGACGGCGATCTGCCCTTCTCAAGGCCGCCATCTACACAGGACAAACGTAAGGATATATCCATGTTTCGGGACGGATTCGAACCGATGATCCTAGTGTTTGAATGGGCTAGTAAATAATCTATACGAAGTTACGTACAAACATCAATCGTATAAGACACTAAAGTACGGTTTAATTGTAGAGGATTGCATTGAACTGAGCAAACAAGACGCCCAAATAAATATTTCTAAACTTTCTTTACGAGTAAATATAATAATTATTTCCAGCTGTTTTGAGTCTTCTTGAAGTGGCATTATCTTCCTCGCGGCATGACCTCAATATTCTCGTCCAAAAAGTCGAATATGCCAATCTTCTGGGAATATTTCAGCTAACGGTACACATATGTAAAAATAAGTCTCGTCTTTTTGACAGATGAAATGATATAGAGAACGAGATGAAAGAGCATGATTTCCCATGACACCAAAGCAA